ATGTAAAAATCCTCAAAAAAATACTAACAAACCAAATCTCCTAAATCCAGAAGCACACTGAAAAAATTATTCACCATGATCAAGTGGAATTCATCCCAGGGATACAAGGATGAATCGATATACACACATTGATAAACGTGATACATCACATCAACAAAATGGAGGACAGAAACCCTATGATCATCTCAATATATGCAGAAAAAGCATTTGATAAAATTCAACATCTCTTTGTGACAGAAACTCTCACCAAATAAGGTATGGAAGGAATATACCTCAACACAATAAAGGCCATACAAGACAAACCCACACCCAGTATCATACTGAGTGAGGAAAAGTTGAAAGCTTTTCCCCTAAGATATGGAACAAGATAATGATGCTTACTTTTGTTCAACATAGTAATGAAAGTTCTGGCCAAAGCAAATAGGCAAGAGAAAGAAATAAAGGGCATCCAAATTGGAAAGAAGGAAGTCAAATTGTCCCTGTTTGCAGATGACATGAGCTTATATACAGAAAACCCTAAAAGCTCTATCGAATACTCCTAGAACTGATAAATTTAGTAAAGTTGAAGGATACAAAACCAACATATAAAGATCAGTGGTATTTCTATACCCCACCAACAAACCATCAAAAGAAGAAATCAAGAAAGCAATCCCATTTACAATAGCTACAAAAAATAATACCTAGGAATAAATTTAGCCAAAGAGGTGAAATATCTCTACAAGGAAAACTATAAAACACTGATGAAAAAAATTGAGGAAGATACAAATAGACATCCCATGTTCATGGACTGGAAGACTTAACAGTGTGAAAATATCCATACTATCCAAAGTTATCTGTTGATTCAATGCACTCCCTATCAAAATACCAATAACATTCTTCACAGAAATGGAAAAAACAATCCTAAAATTTGTACAGAACCACAGAAGACCCCAAATAGCAAAAGGGATAAATCTGGAGGGATCACACTACCAGACTTCAAAATAAAGGCAATAGTAATCAAACCAGTGTGGTTAAAAACATAAAAACAGATATGCAGACCAATGAGACAGAACAGAGAACCCCAAAATAAATCTACTTATTTACAGAAAACTGATATTTGACAAAGGTGCCAAGAACATTCATAGGGGAATGATAATCTCTTCAATAAACTGTGCCAGGAGAACTAGATATCAAAATACAGAAAAATGAAACTGGACTCCTATCTCTCACTGTAAAAAAGGTCAATTCAAAATGGACTAAGAACTTAAATGTAAGACCCCAAACTATGAAACTACCAGAAGAAAACATGAGGGAAATGCTTCAGGACATTGGTCTGATGAAAGATTTTATGGATAAGACCTCAAAAGCCCAAGCAACTAAAGCAAATATAGGCAAATGGAATTCTATCAAACTGAAAATCTTTTGCACAGCAAAGGAAGCAATCAACAGAGTGATGAGATAACCTGCAAAATGAGAGAAAACATTTGCAAATTATCTGACAAGGGATTAATATCCAGAATATATAAGGAACTTACCTCAATAGCAAAAATAAACAAACAAAAATAACCTACTTTAAAAATGGGCAAATGAGCTGAACAGACATCTCTGAAAAGAAGACATACAAACGGCCAACAGGTATATGGAACAATGCTCAACAGCACTAATCATCAGAGAAATGCAAATTAAAACCACAAAGTGATATGATCTCATATCTGTTAGAATAGCTATTATCAAAAAGATAAAAGATAATAAGTATTGGAGAGGATGTGGAGAAAAGCGAATCCCTGCACAATTTTGGTGGGAATGCAAATTTATGCAGTCATTTGGAGAATAATATGGAGGTTACCCAGAAAACTAAAAACAGAACTACCATATGATACAGCAATCCCACTACTGGGTATATATCCAAAAAGAATGAAATCAATATGTCAAAGAGATATCTGCACTCTCATGGTCATTGCAGCACTATTCACAACAGCCAAGATATGGAATCAACTTAAGTGTCCATCAACAGATGAAATGATAAAGAAAATATGGTATATATACACAATGGAATGGTATTTAACCATAAACAAGAACAAAATTCTGTCATTTGTGGCAACATTGATGAGCTTGGAGGACATTATGTTAAGTGAAATAAGCCAGCCACAGGAATATAAATACTGCATGTTCTCATTCATATGTGGAAGCTTAAAAAGTTGATCTCATAGAAGTAGAGTATAGAATAGTGGTTAATAGAAGCACAGAGGGATGGGGGTGGAAAGATAGTCAAAGGTTGCTTAACAGATACTAATTACAGCTACATAGGAGGAATAGGGACTAGTGTTCCATAGAACTATAGAGTGACTATAATTAACAATTTATTATGTATTTTCAAATAGCTAGGAGAGCAGATTTTGAATGTACCAAACACAAAGAAATGATAACTGTTTGAGGTGATGCTAATTACCTCAATTTGATCATTATACATTGCATATATGAATCAAAATATCACACTGTACCCCATATGTACAATTATTACATCAACTAAAAATAATAATAAAAGGAAAAAATTTTGAGTTATAGACCATTATTGAAAGAAACATTGCATGAGAAAACTATTCAGGATGAAATAGACTTGGTACAATTATTATATCAACTAAAAATAATAATAAAAGGAAAAAATTTTGAGTAATAGACCATTATTGAAAGAAAATTACATAAGAAAGCTATTCAAGATGGGCTAGGCCCCAACTGCTTGGCCTCCAACCAATTTTCACTGTGGCCCCCATAGTGGTAACTTGCAAAGTGTGGTCTGCAGGCCATCAATGCCAGAATTATCTGAAATCCCATATAAACAATACAAATTAAGGGGTGACATCAAAGACCTACTCAGTCAGAAGCTGAGATTTACATAAACTCTTTTGGTAATTCTTTTGTTCATGAAAATTTTAAAACCAGATATTCTATAAGACGACTTGCCAATAATCTTTAAAAATGACGGTGTTGCGAATGACAAAGAAAGGCTGAGACAATGTTCCAAATAAAGAGAATAAAGAAATATGATAATTCAGTGCAATTCATTATCCTGAATTACACCTTGAATTAGATAGTAAGTTTGCTCTAAAGAACACTATTGGGACATTTGGCAAAATTGTATTACATATGATACAAAATCGTGTTGTATCAAGTTGAATTTCCTGATTTTAATGTAAGAGAATGTTCTTTTTCTTAGAGAATATAGGTGGAGGTTTTTAGGGGTACAAGAGCATGCTACAACTTGTGGATAATGGGAAAAAAGATAGACTGATTATTTTAATAGACAGAGAAAGTTTTTTTTACTATTCTTGAAATTATTTTAAAATTAAGTGTAAAAAGAAATTAAAATGAGAAAGAGAAAGCCTAAAGAAAAGCCAGTGCCAGTCTTAGGGCAGTGTCAGTCCAGCCCCTGTTAGATGACTGGGAATCACTAAAAGGCTTTAGGTGGTGATGTTGCATAGTCGGATTTGTGTTTCTGGTAAATCACTTCGATGGTAGTATGAAGGGTGTAATTAGAATGACAATATTGATGGCAGGGAGACAGACTAGAAAACTGTAGTACTTCTGGTAAGTGGATGATGATAAGAATCTGAAAAGAATGATGGTAGTTAATGATGGTAGTCAAGATAGAGAAAAAGAGATTCTGAGGTAAAATCATCTGGATTCAGTGGTTGACTGGATATGGGCGACAGAAGTGAAAGTGAGAAAAAAGGATACCGATCAGATTTGTAGCTGGAGTGGTTATAGAGATAGTACTGCCATCAGTGTTACTGAGAATATGTGAGGAAGAGTATTTAGTGTGGAATTAGATGAATTTGAATTTGAATCTGTGGGACAGCTGTGTGGAGATGTATAGCAGATAGTTACATACGGGGTCTGAAGCTTTGACAAGAGGTCAAATACATGTATCTATGTATATGCATATGCATGTATGTATATATACGCACATATGTATTCACACATGCATATATATATAGAGTATAACAATATGACATAATAAAGATCAATAGTTCGTGAAAGGCTGAATCTAAGAAGGTTAAATTTAAATTTAACTGGAATAAATTTAAGGTCAAGCATAATGAACCAAATAGCAAGTGAAGAAGTAGAGAATGGAGGAAATACAACTTAGCAGTAGCACTATGAAAATAAAACGTTAAAGGTTTGAATATATGAAATCCAATATGTCAATATTTTAGGATAATTTTCAAAAGAAGAAATATAATCTTAAACCGCATTAATGGAAACCTAGTATCTATAAAGGAGCAAATAAAAATGAAGATATATTTTGCACTCATTAGACAACATCTACAATACTGTGCTCAGTTTCATTTAAGCTTGAATAGCAACAAAAAAAAGTAAAATAAAATGGTAAAGGGACTTGAATCACAGTGTTTTATGGATGGTTGAAAGAAACACGGAACGTTTCAGGGAAATAAATGACAACTTTTTAAAAAAACAGAGAAGGTATTACAATTGCATTATTTCAAGGAGAATTGGGGAAACTGCATCAGTCAAAATTATCTACCTTTAAGGTTTCTTCACTATTTTGTGTTATTAGAGAGGACAGATTAAAAGAAGTGGATGAAATTTACAAGGACATGTATTGTAAACTTTTTATTGTTAAAGTTTATTGAAAATAAACTTTTTCAATGCTATAGCTCTTTAGCAATGGAATGAATTATACTGCAGTTTAGTAAAGTACTTGTCACCAAGTGTAGTCAGCCAGAGGCTGGATGAGCCTGGGGCCTGTCATGAGCAGGTGAGACTAGAGCACTCTCAAGGCCTCTCTCTGCTCTAAGACTTGGTGAGATGCGAATGAAAAGATTAGACAATGAGATGAATATTCTTTTGTTTTGGTTTTGACTGGATGAAATTAAAAGAAAGCAAATTGACATACAGTAAATTTCTACTGTTTCCCCTGTGTATTTCTAGAGCTAGAGAGAAAAATAACATTCAGATCATAGGGGACCACTCATTACTGTCTGTGTGCCTATTTTACTCACCCAAACCTTGATTAGGTAACTGTCTTCTGAAATAATCAACCATATAATCACCTGGTTCATTTGGCCTTGTATCTAGAGAAGATGATAAAGATCATAGTAGCATGAAAATAATTAATTCGCCCATTTACATTTCATATTTTTCATCTTTTTTCAAAGTGACAAATGCTAGTAAATAACTTGTAGATAGCAGTTTAGTTCAGTGAAATTAAAATAAGCAGTCTTCAAATGTTACAAATTTTTGTTGCATTTAAAAATGTTCATACCTTTTGGGTCAGCAATTCCTTTTCTAGGAATTTGTTATAAAGAAATAATTAAGAAAACACACAAATAGAGAGTTATAAAGTTTTCATTGTTGTTTACAATAGGAAAAAAATTGGAAACAAAATGTAAGTTTAACACTGGGGATGGCTTAATTAATAGAATGGAATACTTTGCCACCATTTATTTACATATGAAGAGGTTTATAATATCCTGGAATTTAAAATTAAAAAGTAAGTTGCAAAATAATGCGATGATTATGTGAGTCATTAACATGGTATGTATGTGGATGAATATGGGAAAGTGTTTAAAATAAATATTCTAAAATGTAATTTTTGCTTTCTTTTGCTTATCTTTATTTTTAATTTTTGACATTAAAATGTTAACAAAAGAATACATAAAAGCTACTTATAAAAAGCAGCTGAATATGCCTAGCTGACCATTATCAGAAAAAATAAAGTTTAAGTGAATTGACTATTTTAATTATAATAGTATTCTCCCCTTTCCTTGGCATGGTTCTTAGGTTCTTATCTCCATTTATATTTTTTATTATTTTGCTACATCATAAACTAAATGGATATATGAGTGTGTCTGTGTGTGTGTGTGTGTGTGTAATTAGGTTACCTCAAATCCTTTTGGGAAATAGGTAGATAAAAATGAACAATAAATATATATATACACACATAAAATTAAGTATTTTAGATAAAATTAAAATATTGCCTAAATTATATGATTCCCCCTGCAAAGGACCTCAACTAAAGATAAGATGACAGAAATTAAGAAAGAAAAAAAAAAACCAGAGATGCTAGAGAGTCAGTTAAAGATTCACATCAGACTTAGCAGGTGGCAGTAGAAGCCAATGAACAGTCTATGAATTAATTTGTCTCCTGGGCTCATCTTCTATTAAATTATGAAATGAGAGGAAAAAGATGGTTTTTAAAACATAAAATCCCTTTCCCTTTGGGGGCAAACTTTCAAAACCTTGGGGATAGCCCTCAAATACGTGGACCTCTCTATTATTCAATGTAATTAACCACTCCTTTCTCTGTGCTCCCTGGGGACCCTGAACAGACTACTGGCATTGCGTCTATGACATTGCACTTGGCTTGTTGTTTCTTTCCTGATTAAAGGATGAGGTCCTGCAGGGATGAAATGGTATCATATACATTTAATATCCCTAGCACCAAGCACAGTGGCAGCCTCAAAGTTGTGGCACCAACAATTCCTAGATGAGTAAATGAATTAACTGTTTATGAGAAAGTAGAAGCAGAATATTACCTTTCACATCAGAATTTGATTGTTTGTGCCTTTGCAGTAAATGTCCTCTATCATAAACCTAATGGAATGTAGAATCAAGGAAAACAATGCTATTTTATCAACATGAAATGGGGTATATTTCCTATACGATTTATAGTATTGTGCATTTTTAACAAATATTCCTCATTTCATCCTTACAGGTGTAGAATGACCAAAATTATCTTATAAATCAGAATCTTCTAATATTTTTGACTACACTACTCTCCTGCATCAATGAGTAGAAGAAAATGTTGATACTATATTTTGGCAGTAAAGGAGGCTTAAAATTTTTCCACATCACATAGAATTTATTTGTAATAAGAAAGAGACCAAAAAAAACGGTATTCTTATAATCTCACTTACTTAAATTAGAAGAACAAACATATGGGAAGATAAAAGTGTGAAATGGGTGAAAAAATATAAAATTATGTAAAATATATAAACAGATTGCAAAACTGTGCTTATATATAAAAAGATGAGGCTGGGCACGGTGCACACCTGTAATCCCAGTACTTAGGGAGGCCGAGGCGGGCGGATCACTTGAGGTCAGGAGTTCGAGACAAGCCTGGCCAACATGGTGAAACCCCGTTTCTACTAAAAAAAAAAAAATTAGTGGGGCGTGGTGGCAGGCACCTGTAATCCCAGCTACTTGGAAGGCTGAGACAGGAGAATCGCTTGAACCTGGGAGGCAGAGGTTGCAGTGAGCTGGGATTGCGCTGCTGCACTCCAGCCTGGGCGACAGAGCTAGACTCCATCTCAAAAAACAAAACAAAAACAAAAACAACCCATAATAAAAGTAGACTATGAAATGGAGTTAAAAGCTCAAACCCACCTCTTCATATATGTAATTGATTGGCAGCAAAAAAAAATGGGCAAAATCGGTATGAAAATGGGAGAAAAATGTAAATATCAAAATTTGATTATTGAAGAAAGAAACATTTTAGAAAAAATTACGCAAATTTAAAAGTAGTGATATTATGTAATCACCAGGCATTGGCAAGACAAGGAGTGAAATCAGGCTGAAGAAAATTAGTAAGACTTGATTTGATAAACTCTTGTAATTTTTGGCTCCCATCTCTTGAGTGAAATGATTCTGTGAGCCATAATAAACGACTACACTTATCCTACAGAAAAATATCACCAGGTCAGTGATCTTATGTACATGAGCTACAATTTCTAATCACAGTAATTTATAATTGTTTTTGTTGAAAGTCTTCAGAATCAACAAGTGAGTGTCATGGTGGGAAACAAAGTTAACTGAAATATTTTAAAATAATTTACCAATATTATTTTAGGGATGTATTGATATCTTATAAGCAAACAAAGTAAGAAATAGTCAGTTCAAGAGCATGAATTTAAGTTGTCCTCAGCCATTTACCTGAGTGAAAATGAGATTGTTCACTCTTTCTGTGAAAGACGGGTAGGAATTTCAAGGTAAGTGACCACAATCTCCTGTTAGCTTATGGGCAGACTTAGAATGTATGCAACTTGCTCAAAGCATTTGACCAAATGAAGATTATTTTCCATTTGGAAGTATCTAACATTAAATATAATGATTTCATACAATTTTAAAAGCTCCAATCAAGAAAGATGCAAATATATGAGCATTTAATATAAAGGGATTTATAATATTTTACATTAAATGTAGCTTGAGATAGGTGAAGAAAACCACTCTATGGATATATTTGTGAGAACTAAATAAATATGTGTCTTGCAATACATACATTAAAAAAAAATCCCCTAACAAAACCTATTTTGGTTATTGGGTCCTGCAAATGACTTAACACAGGGGTATCAATGAGAGGATTTGTTTACCAAAAAAAATTTTTAATTCCTATTCATATTACATTCCTGAAATAATGTAATTCTAGAAGGGAGAGCAGAGGGAAAGGAGCATCACTCCTTTATAGCCATCTCTGCTCCCTGCAGTACTAAGCCTCTGATGTTGGTCCTCAGGGGTACAGACTTAGGTATATCCACATTCACTTGGGATGACAGTGCTAAGGCAGGGCTCTCTTTGTCTCTTTCCCTGACCACATTCAGCTCTGCTCTTCAGACTAATTCAATCAAATTTGGACTTCTTCAAAAGGATAGTTGCAGAGGTCAGTGTTTAAGATTTTTTCTGACTCCAGTAAGGCTCCTCCTAGCTGTTTCTTTCTCCAGTTCTCTCTGGCAAACTAGTCAGTATTCAATTTAGCTTGTAGCTCCAATGAATCTACCAGTGTTGTTACAGTAGGTAGCTAATAAGGCATGAGCAGGGCAGGAGAGGGCTCCACCAAAACCCCACTAGGAATGTCAGGCATCAGGTGATGGTCAGGCGGTTGTTAACTGTCTCTCTAAAATAGTAATTGGTTGCAGCCAGCAGCAGGGAAAGGTAGTCTTCCTACAGATAGGAAACACCTGAGACTAGTGATCAGCTGCTTCCTGATGAGATCTCAGGAGTGCGCTCAAGCATGCGTAGTAAGAAACAAAATGGCAGAATTTAACTGGTATATGAACTTTTTAAGATTTGACTCCAGGGTATGAGGCAGAAAAAGAGGCTGAAGCAAGTTTTAGGGCAGGAGTGGAAGGCAAGAATTGATGCTGCTGCAGACCCGTACAGATTTGCTGCTGGTAAGATAACTTCCACCAGTAATATATTTGTCCTCCAGAATTTTTTTTTTAAGCCATTAATTGCACTGGTTTTGAGACTGTCCTTAAGCTTAACTTCTCTTTTTCTGGAAGAGATTAGGAGCTATCTGTTTTATGACCTAGTTTTGCATCAGGGCAAAATTTATAAGCTATGGCTTATGAGCTGGGGGTGGCGGAAATAGCACTCTTCCCTCCAAGTGATACCCTGCTTTAGGAGCTGAACTGTAGGTGCAGGGGAGGCAGTAGCCTTAGGTCTCCTCCATTTGCCTCTCCCAGTGTGGAACCATCATTTTACAAACCAAGATAAGGGCAATCAGCCCAAGAATGCTCAGTGGTGGAGCACCTGAAGTAGAGCCCCTGTCTCATCAATGGGGACTGGGAGAGGAAGGCAGCCCCCATCTCTTGTCGGCACTCACCTGACTTAGCAACAGGCAGCTGGGGGAAGAATAAGAAATACTGATATTCTGCCCCTCCTGGGATAGCCCTTTGGTAGCTCTGGGGAGAGGGAGCCCTAACTTCTTGTCTACACTAGTGTGGAGTTTCTGTCTTACTGAGCTGGGGAGTCCGGTGGGGGGAGGGGAAGAGGCAGTCTTGATTGAAATACCACAGGCTCTCACAGTTTTTAATGAATTTTAGTAGACTTTCTTGAATAGATTTTTGTTTCACTTGCTATATAACCTTCAGACCATTTCAGAGACTTTAAATATCTGTTGTTGTTTGTTGTTGTTGTGGATAATTTCACTAGTTTTGCTGGTGAATGGGTTTGCAGAGCTTTTCCTGCTGTCATGGTAGAAGCTGATCTTTCAGTTCCACTATTTTTATTTTTATACCCTTATATTTCCATTTAATTTTTCTTAATTTCTTTATTCTTGCTACCCTGGATGCATCTTTGTAAGCTTCCTCAAATACTTTTTAGAGTAAGGTAAAAGTACAAATGAAATTTAAATATGGCATCTTAATAAGGCCCACCTCTCATCTGTCAAGGATCTTTTGTGTTTTTATAAACAGTAAATAATATGAACAAAATTTTACTTCTCCTGGGGGAAAATTCGGGTATAAGAAGTGTAAGAGAAAATAACTTGCCGTTCTCTTTCATTCATTTAAAAAAACTTTTAATAACTAGATCAGTGAAGATTTACCTCTTGTCCTTCTCTGGCATTTTGGTGGCTTGCTGTAGTAGAATTCCTTTCCTTCTTTGTTTTCAAATGTTTTTTCTAGTAAAAGAATCATACTTAAAATCAATATTTAATCAACATATCAAAGAGTACATATGCAGACATGAGACTGTTATGAGATTCCCACTTATAAGAAGATGAGAAGTACTTTATTCCTCCCACTAAGTACAACCAAAAATTCTGGGTATTACATAAGAAATTCTAAAAGATGGAAAGGAGAAGGAGACTAGCTAGGGAGTTCAAGGCCAGAAGAGTGGCATGATGATGAGTTTACTGTGTTTCCTTTTTGCTTCATACGTTCTCACTTTAAAGCTGGAGAGGCTGGCAATCCAGAAATTCCAATGAATGCAATTTTTAAAAATCCCTACATAAGCCTGTTCTTTCTAGCCCAAGGACCAGGAGAGGGACAGCCTAAAGAGACCAAAACCTTTTAGATAGTAACTGTTCTACTCCAGCCTAACACCACAGAAATGACTGTGACTCCTACACCCACCCATGCCAACAAAAGCTGATTGGGAGTGCCCCAATCCCTTCTTCAAGGTAGTGTCAGGGAAGGCTAAGCAGGGGGCCAGGCAAATAAGCATGTGAAAAGATATTCAACATGGTTGAACTGTTATGGAAATGCAAATTAAAACTACAATGAGATAACACACTTGTGAGAATGGCTAAAATAGAAAATAGTGGCAACACGAAATTTCAGTGAGGATGCATAGAAAATGGATTACTCATAAACTGCTTTTGGGAATGGAAAATTGTACATCCATTTTGGAAAACAGTTTGGTAGTCTGTTAAAGAATTAAACATGTATGTACCATAACTACCATACCATCTACCAATTGAACTCTTGGGTTTTTATCTCAGGGAAATGAAGACTTATTTCACATAAACCTGTACACTAATGTTATGTTCATAATGGCCCCAAACTGAAAACAACCCACATGTTCTTCAACAGGTGAATGGTTAAATAGGCTATGGTAAATCCATATCGTGGAATACTGCACAGAAATAAAAAGCAAGAAACTATGGATGTATGCATCAACTTGGGGGTGGGGGATGAGTATTCCAAGAGGTAGGCCAACTGATAAAAGCCAATCCCAGCATATTACATATTGTGTGATTTTACAGGGATGTGGAAAAACATCTGTGAATGATACATTTACAGAAATACGGAACAGATTTGTGGTTGCCAGGGGATAACTGCAAGGTAAGGACAGCAGGGAGTGGGTAGGGCTTTAAGAGGGCAATATGAGGGATCCTTATGGTCATGGAAATGGTCAGCATTTTGACTGCACGAATATAAATATCCTTATTGTAACACGGTGCTATAGTTTTGCAAGATGTTATCATTAGGGGAAACAGAAAACAGGGTCCCTGGCATCTCTCTCAATTATTTCTTACAACAGCAAGTTAATCAAAATTAAAAGTTTAATTTTTAAAAGTTAGAATTTAATTGGTATTATGTTTTATCTGTTTATTCTTTAAAAGTTAACATTTTTATAATGCTAGAAAAATATCTTGATAAAGATGCCTATACCCAAAATATGGCACATAATCAATGTCTGACCATTGGAGGGATTCATTTAGTTTTTGAAAATAATCACACAGAATATAAACTTGCTCTTTTTACTGTTACTTTTTACTCCAGAGGGTGTGTGTGTATGTATAACTGCCTGAATTGTGGGCATGGATATGAATATTTATCCATGAGTGTCCTGATATATATATAACTTGGAAAGACAAGGTGTTTGTGAAGTAAAGACTTGCATGGTATTTTAACAAACCCACTAGAATATTTGAGTATAATCCTTTAAAGTATTGAGGGTGGAGAAAGGAGAAAGGAAAAGATTGGCAAATGGAGGGAAAGGGAGAATGTGATGGCACAGGAGAAAATATGGGAGGAGGTAAAACATTTATTCTTGTGCTACGTGATTGTTTAAAATTTTTTTGAATTTGGACTTTGTTCAAATTTGTTGTTCATGTCCCCAGAACTCATTCCCTCTTCTTCTGGCAACTGTCTCTAATTTTGTTAGGGAATTTAATCCTACCCACTCTCAGTTCTTGGAGTCTGGGTGAATCCTATGAGGGTTTGTCAAAGAACCCAGGCTGAAGCCAATCAGCACAGTCCATCCTGTTAGTCACAGTGAGTGATTTATGGGTTGACACATGTCTAAACCAGCCTGATAAGAATCATCTTTGCTTTTTTCCCTCCAGCTTTATTGAGGTCTAAATTGACAAATAAAAATTGTATATATTTAAGGTGTACATGATGTTTTAAGTATACATTTTGAAATTATTACCACAATCAAGCTAATTAACACATCTATCACCTCACATAGTTACCACTTATTTTGCTTTTCATGATGAGAATACGTAAGACCCATTCTCTTAGCAAATTTCAAGTATAAAAAACAATATTATTAACTATAGTCATCACGTTGTACATTAGGTCTTCAAAATGTATTCATCTTACAACTGCAAATTTATACCCTTGACTAACATCTCCCTGACCCCTGGTAATGACCTTCTATTCTCTATTATGTCAACTTTTTTAGATTTCACATAGAAGTGAGATCATGTACTATTTGTCTTTCTGTGTTTGGCTTATTTTACGGAACATAATGTCCTCTAGGTTCAAAGGCTAAATGATATTCCAGTATGTACACACACATACACATACCCCTCATCTTCTTTATCTGTTCATCCATTGATAGACACTTGTTTCTGCATCTTGGCTATTGCGAATAGTACTGCAATAAACATGGGAGTGCTGATATCTCTTTAGTATCTGGATTTCCATTCTTTTAGATAAATACCAGAAGGGTGAATACTGTATCATACAGTAATTCACTTTTAAACTTTTTTTGAGGAAACTCCATATTGTTTTCCATAATGGCTGTACCAATTTACATTCTCACCAACAGGGTATAAAGGCTTCATTTTCTCCACATCCTTGCAAACACAGTTTTTTAACTTTTTGACCTAGCAGACGTGATATGATATTTCATTATGGTTTTGATTTGAATTTCTCTGATGATTAGTGATGTTGATGTTGAACAACTTTTCATATAATTGTTGGCCATTTATACGTCTTCCTTGGATAAATGTCTATTCGAGTATGTAGCTCATTTTAAAATCAGCTTAGTGGGTGTTTTTGCTATTAAGTTGTAGGAGTTCCTAAAAATTTTGGAGATTACCCCCATTCAGATATATGATTCACAAGTATTTTCTTCCATTCCATAGGTTGCCTTTTCCTGCTATTAAATATTTTCTTTGTTGTACAGAAGCTTTTTAGTTTGCTATAGTCCCACTTGTTTGTGTTTGTTTTTGTTGTCTATGCTTTTGGTGTTACAGCCATGAAATTATTGTCAAGATCAATGTCCTGGTGCTTTCCCCTATGTTTCTTCTAGGAGTTTTATGGTTTTGGGTCTTATGTTTAAGTGTTTAGCCCATCTTGAGTTGACTTTTTGTGTAGTATGAAGGTCCAGTTTCATTTTGTTTTATGTATATATCCAGTTTCCCAACACCATTCTTTTTCTTTGACACAGGGTCTCATTCTGTTGCTCAGGCTCAAGTGCAGTGGCCCAATCATGACTTACTGCAGCCTTGACCTCCCGGGTTCATTGATCCTCCCACCTCAGCCTCCTGAGAAGCTGGGACTATAGGCATGAGCCACCATGCCCAGATAATTTTCTTATTTTTTGTAGAGATGAAGTCTCACTCTGTTGCCCAGGCTGGTCTCAAACTCCTAAGCGCAAGTGATTCTCCTGCCTTGGCCTCCAAAAGTGCTGGGATTACAGGTGTGAGCCACCACACTTGGCCACCAACACCATTTTTTCAAGAGACTATCTTTTCTTCATTGTGTATTCTTAGTGCCCTGGTCAAAGATCAGTTGACTGTATATGCATGGTTTTACTTCTGGGCTTTCTATTTTGCTCTATTGTGCTGTGTGTCTGTTCATATGCCAGTGTCATATACTTTTGGTTATTGTAGCTTTGTAACATATTTTAAAATCAGGAAGTGTGATGCCTCCAGCTTCATTGTTCTTGCTCAAGTTTGCTTTAGCTATTCAGGCTCTTTTGTCATTCTATACAAATTTTAGTGCTGTTTGTTCTACTTCTGTGAAAAATGTAACTGAAATAGGTATTGCATTGAATTTGTAGAGAGCTTTGGGTAGTATGGACATTTTGACAATATTCTTCTGATTCATGAACACAAAATACTTTCCATTTATTTGTGTCTTCGATTTCATCAACATTTTACAGTTTTCACTGAAGAGATCTTTTACCTCTTTGTTAAAAATGTCAATATCTGCATTTTTGAGGGAACTACTATATAGGAGGATGTCTCAACCAGACTTAGTATGGTGAGGATGTGAGGCTGGATTTCTACAGTCATTTTACCACCATGAGAGGAAAGTCTGTCTGAGAATGGAACCAACCAAGAAAAGGCAGAAATGAGATGAAAGCAGGAGAAAAAACCCTCCAGGATCTTAATGACATCATTTGAGCTCCTCATTTAAGCCACGACAAAAGCCAGCCTTGTCCCTAGACTTTTTATTTAGTAATCCAACAAATATCCCTTTTGACTAAGCCATTTTGGAAGGATTTTTTTTGCCTCTTGCAACGGAGAGAGTCCTGATACATCTTCAAAATATGGTTTAGTAGCTAGAGAACAAAATTAAGTTTGCTATTTTACCATTGTCCTCATGGAATGGAAACTCTAATCTCCAGATGCTCAGGTCCCAAATTCTAGAGACCACCTTCTCTCCTTTCTATTTTTCAATCTTATAAACATGTCATCAGCAGATTCTCTTAACACTATCTTGAAAATATGTCTAAAACCTAATCACTTCTCATTCCCTCTACTAGTATCACTTTGGTGCAGCCACCACTTTTATCTTGCCTGGATTATTATAAGAGCCCCCTAATTGGTCTCCCTTATGGGTCATCATTGTACTCTTAACACAGCAGCCAAGGTGACCCTGCTAACCACTTCAGGCAGATCATGTCATTCTTCTGATCAAAGATTCCCAAACTCAG